GTGATCCGGAGGAAATAGCTTGTTTGGAGACACGCTGATTTAATTTCCCAGTCTTCAATAAAATGTGCCATCATGCTCATGTAAGGCTCGCATGTCCGACTTGACCACAGATCTGTAGTTAGTCCGAAATTTGTCACGTTATCCAGCCGGCCGTTAAGTGTCTTCCGGACATCCGTATACATTTCTGGCAGCACCTCTCGTGCAAAATACTTGCGCGAGGGCAACTGGTACCTAGGGTCAAGTGCTTTCAGTAGTTTTTTGAATCCATCTTGCTCCACTGTGGCAATAGGGGTCATGTCCTTTGCAATACGGTATGCTACTGCATTTGTAATTTCATGCCACTTCGCACTTATTTTTTTTGTACGTCACACCACGCTGGCTTTGTGTCGAGGTGGACGGCAGGCAGGAGGACTTTAATTCTGGTGGCTTAGATGTTGTGGGAGTAGTGGCTGCAGCATGCTGAAGTTTCATGTACTCCTCCTACTGGAGTTTGTGGCATTGCTGTAAATGGTGGTACAGATTTGTTGTGCTTCCACATTTGGATGTAACTTCTTTGTGACACCGTTTACAAATTATGTTTTTTTGCTCGACATCATCTCTTCTGAAACCAAATCACTCCCAAACTAACGAACCAGTGCTTTTCTTTTTACATAACAGAACTTTGTCACTCGTGTCGAGCGGAGCCTGAGCTGCTTCCATGCTGCTGAGTTGAAAATAGCTGCTGACTTCCACTGGCCGCATGTGCAGTGGAAGAGTGTGGGCGGGGTGCAGGTGTGTGTGAGTGAGAGAGAGAGAGCCTGATGAGGATAGACTCTCGTCTCGTCCTTTAACTTTATACCGCGGTATAAACGGTATTGCGTAATTCTACACTGCATTCAAAATTATATCGATATAAGTTAATATATCGATATACCGCCCAGCCCTAGTGCAAGTCTTAAAAAAATTATTTTAGTGAACACTTACCAAACATTTTTAGTTGTGAAAACATAAATATATGCCCATACATCATTATCAGATACTTTAAACCATCAACATATCACTATCAACCTTAAAAAATCCAGTAAAGGGCTGGTTATGCTACACTAAAAAAGAGCTTTAATGAGTTGGTGATTAGTTGATAAGCACTATTAATCACTCACCAGTTTAATATTCAATAATTGCTTCAAGACTTTTTTTCAGAAAATAAGCACAAAAAAAAAAAAAAAAAAAACAAATTATGGAGGGGTTTTGAATTACAATAGGCAAAAAAACTTATACCCATAGACAAACAAATAAACTCAGAGTGGGATCTATTTAAGTCCCACTACTAATTGTTTATCATTTATGGTAATGTTAACAATGACACACGTAGCTATCTCCACCTTTCACTCTTTCTTGTTCTTTCAAAAGGCTTCAAATAACATGAACAATACCTTTGCAATGTATGTGGATGTGGGATATTAATCTGGAGAGACTCAGATATTTATACGCTTTGGGACCATGTAAGTGGAGAGTGGCAGCAAACTCCCTCTGGTCTTTGGTGTACTCATGGCTCTGTTTTGACAGCAGGTGTAGTGGAAGATCTGAAATTCAGTTAGCACATGTATATACCCTTGAAACAACTTTGAATTCTTATAGACGGGAAAATATTACACACTTAAGTTCAATTTATCTCCAAATTTATATTTGCATTTTACCTGAGTATGACTCAAGACGCTCTTTCAATTCTTCATTTATAATTTTTTTTCCCCCTCAGATCCTCCAGAAGACCACAGAAAGTTTTCTTTGCCCTCCTTTCTCTGTCCTGAGCATTCCTCTTCTCTTTTTTCACCCTAGCTAAAGCTTCACTGAGTCTGTCCATGATTTCACTGGGTGATGAAAGCATTGCATAAGAATGGTCCTAAAAAATATGATTAAAGTATTACACGCAATGTTTGGATTACAGTCACAGTCTGTCACGTCTTTGCTCGTACAATGTGTTGTTACTGTAGCTGTCCCACACTCATAATGTCATCACATCTCAATTTCAGCTTTGTCTGTTTGTCAAGGACATGTTTCAATGTATGCACAAAACTGTGGACATGAGTCTGTCTGAAAGAGTGACAGAGTTTGGGGGGGTGGAGGAACAGAATGGGTTTGAATATAACCAGGGTCATGATGCTCACAGCTGTTTGAGTTATAGCTAGAAATTAATACTCACAACATTGAACTGTTGAACAGAAGAGTCCACTGAATACTCTACCTTTTGGAGATGAGCTGGGAAACAGAAGACAGAAGGAATAACTCCATTTCTGATCCTAACTGTCTGACCTGTCCTGTCGAAGTCCTCCTGTCTGAAATGCTCACTGCAGAGCACAGTTCACGAGCTACTGTAGCAGAAAACCTTTCCCTTCTGAGAGCTGTTTCCCATTGCTTTCACAGCCCTTTATCTTTGGGAAACCTACACAGTATGAAAACACGTGGATAAGTAAGATAACTAACACTAATCAGAGTAATTACAGGACGGGAGACATAGCTAAAAAAGACTGCCTTGCTTGTTTGGACGCTGGATTCACCGCGGGACTTCACAGTATTATCCACAAAGTAAGCACATTCCGTTCTCAAAATGATGTTATAATGACCAAATACAATTAAAAAAAAAATAGTTAAGTCTTACTTGTGGAAGGTAATCCCATGGGATCTGGTTTCTGCTGTCGAACGTTTGGAACAACCCCAAGCAGCATGATTTAGGCATCTTACTTTTTGCCACTTCCAACATGGCGCCTACGGTGACGTCTGATTCAAGGCTCAACACGGTGTCTATGTATATTATGTCTATACTCATAACGGGGAGTGAAGGCATGTCGTCTGAAAGATATTACCCAGTTCTTTTAACCAGGAACTCAGAGAGACGATGCGGACCACTTAGATATATAAAAAATAACCGTGCTGGTTTATTCAAAGAATCACAGGTAAAATTAACATTACACGTCCAGGCATCTTCCACCTCCAATACTGTGCGCAGGCAGACGGAGAATGAAAAAAAGACCCTGAACCACCAAAGCCTATCCATTATATCTGGTTTGGGCTAACCCCATTCTACACAGGCACGTCAAACCGTGACATCACCTGATATGCCAGCTTTGCAGCTGACCATAACAATAGTCAAAACATGAAGAAAGTCAATGTGTGTGTGAGTGTTGATTATGTGGTGTGTATCTAAAAACATACAGGACATTCAGGGACATGTCCGGACAGTAAGCCTCGGAAGATATTATGATTAAGATTACGGCTAAACATATCATAATAATAGCAATAACCTCCTGCCTGCAGACTCTCTCTATTTAGTTGACCTTGGCCTATATGCAGCCTGCAGAACTCATGCCAATGACTAAGCATTTAACAGCCTGAGCTAGACAGCCTGGCTCCGCTAAACATTCCTAATACAACAAGTATCTAATCAATATCTATCTGACTAAGAAATTACCTAACACGTCACATCCGGTTAGTCTCTGTTCTGCTAGCATCAGTAACTCAAAGCAGTCTCTCGTTTAACATTTTAGCGTGTTCCTCTGAAGACAAGCAACCAACCACTACAACACATACTACTGTGAAAGTTGAAACCTTTTGTGGCTCTAACAAGGTTAATTAATGATTTATTATTTTGTTAGCATCAGAAAAACTACAGTTCCCGTAATTGCTTTGCAGCCCGGCAGTACACATACGTTGCTGCTATTTACTCACCTGGACTTCAGCGTCCAAGTAGCACAACATTAACGCGTGTTTTTGATATTAGTTCCACCTCCTTCAACTTTTTAAGTTGTAAAAAACATAAGATGTGTAATATTTAGCACCACCTCTCGACTCAGGACCTCAGTTCAGTTCTCCCACCAGTTTTCCCACCAGTGGGAAATGGTTAAATTGTGTTTTTTAAAGCCCGGTAAAAACCAAGATTTTATGTTAATCTAAATAATATATCATTTTAAAGAAATATGTCATTATAGTGTAAGAAAAGGTAGTGGGACTCGCAACATACTGAAATGGCTGGATTTTTACTTATTAGCTAGAATAGAAATCGCAGTGGGATTTTGAATGGGGGTTTCTTTATTCTGGAACACAACCCAGAAGTTCCGGTTTCACTTAGGCTTTTTAAAAAACAGTATGAGGGATAAAGGTGCTAACAAATTTGTGGTTGGTTAAATTCCATATACCCAAATAATGAGGAGTTACCCAAATAATGAGTAAACCCAGGTTTAGGTCATCAGTTATTCAGTGTTTAGGAGTGTGTGGAAATCCTGAGAAGGTGTCATTGTCTTTGAAGGGAAACTCGTTAGTCATCACTCGAATTTCACCTCATAAACTTGTCAACTTGTTTGTTAGCGAGGGGGGAAAAACACACATGAAGGCCAAGTGTTAAATTTGTAATAAATGACAGTTTATTATAAAGATTACAATCTGTTGCCTTGCAGAGCTCATCAGTTGTCATCGTGTGCTCTTTAGTTTTTAGAAAAGGGAAGAAAAAACTACAAGTACACACACGCCACTCACTCCAGAAAAAAACTACAAACATACTGTAAAAAGAGGAAGCAGGGAATCATTAAACCAATATAACCAGGTGGAGATCAGGAGCAGGAAGGTTCACACACAGGTTAGAAAGACAGGATTCTCAGCCAATCAGTGTGAAACTGAGGCATTGCCATGGAGATGTCACTGTTTGCCTACAGATGTGTTTACATCAGATATCCAGTGGCAGCCATTTGGCTCTTTACCCCATTTCCTTCATCTGTTCTAGTTCTGCTTGGACTGAAACGCTGTTTGGTCTCCATCTATGGATCAGTGATTGATTTCAGTCAAACATCTCTCTTACTGGGGAAGAGCCTGACTTTTCAAAACTGGCTGCCAGTGATTAGTAAGAGTCACTTATCCTGTGTACACGTAGCTCTAGTTATACCAAGATGTTGGTTGTTCAACAGGTCTTCAGGTCCAAAAATGCTTTAAATTCACGTTTCTCAAAAAGGTCTTAAGAGGTATTTAAAAGTCTTAGACTGTATTTACAAAGGTATCTTGCCTCCTATATGTAGCAATGTTAGACGAAGTTGGCTGACAGGAGAAATAAAGGAATAAAAGGAACTACTTCTAGCGGAGGAACACTACTGGCTTTACTCTCCTATTTTAGCAGTAGGCTTGCTGGCTGCGTTTCTGATTGGCTGAGAAATCCTTCAGTAGGACAGGGACTTCATGTCAGGTATAGTAATGCACAGAGGACCTGAGGTCAGAGGTTAAGAGGTCACATGACCCCGTCATCACTGATCTGATTTCATGACAGTGCAGAGAAGCGACAGCCCACGCCTCATTCTGCCGATGACTGTGCAGTAGACTACAGTCCAGTATAATATATACTATACACACATTCAGTATATGTCTGCTCAGTGTGATGGTCACTCAGTGTAAACAGCTGCACAGCACGTCCTCATTCTGTTTCAGTCCAGCCCCACGTGATGCGTTAACCGAGATGTATGAAGTGTCTGTTACTGGCATCAGTCTGCAGCGTAGGAGGAGGAGTAAGATCCACTTTTTTGAGTTGACGTGAGCAATGCAGGCTCTGTGTTACGCTACCAGCTGAGTCTGGTCCCAGTCTACAGTGTCCGCTGTCATTAACTAGAAACTTCTAACAAACCCAAACTGACAGCGTTGCGTGGCTCACTTCATGTGTTCACTTCAGGAGCGTCACTTTTTTTGGAAAACGATCTAAGCAGCATTTTCAAGCACTTTCAAGTGAAATCAGATTCTAACAAACCACAGAAGAAGCCAACTCACTACGAGGTTAGCACAGGGGCGAATAACCTTGGAATGAGTCATCTATGAAGACACACTCCCTGGTTGTGTTACAGTGCCCCCTACATCTCAGAACATCCTCCAGGTTCTGTGCTGATGTTCTGAAACTTAACTGGGTGTGTCCTCCCCCCAAACCCCCCACACACTACATTGTTAGTGTAAAGTTAGCATTGGGCTAACAGTTGCAGCTGTTTACACACGCTGAATATCACACATGGATAAAGACTCTATAAACTACAATGTACCAAAATATTAGTATATATTTTTTGTCTATTATACTTTATATAAGACACTATAGCTACATTATTCTACCATAATATATATTATAGAGACCATATAGTCTACTGTAATGTGCTGTACATAGACTATACATTCTATACCTCTGTGGTCTGCCATGGGCAGGTTATTACTTTTTTCCTGTAAAAGAGCCTCACTGTGAACTTATATCATTTTGGAAATCAGGATTGTGGCTCGGCTCGTATTCACGTATTTAAGCGGGGAAAAACAGAAGCAGTAGATTTGCTGTGGAAACAGGCACTGGAGAACTGATTGTGCTTTAGATTGAAGAGGAGAGAGAGCAACATGTCAGGAAGTCATTAAATTACTGATGTTGTGTGAAACTCCAAAGAAAAAGGAGATGGCGAGCAGAACAATGGTTAGAAAAGTAAAGCATTGTCTTAACCCCTCCCAGATGTCTTATTTACATGTTGTATTTTGTTTATTGTACAGGTGTGGAAAGGCAATGAAATATAAATGTTCGGTGTTAGCAGCAGTTAGCATCATCTTCACTGCCAACACTCGTGAAGTTTGTTGTTAGTTTGGGGACATTTCATTCAGTCGAAACATAATGCGACCTTTTGTTAAACCCTGCTGTGCTAAAATGAAAAGGGGGCAAATTCCAATGTGATCGCATCTTAACTCAAACACAAAGGGATTAGAGCTGTAACTGACTGGAAAATCAGCAGCCATTTTGAAGCTAAATTGCAATTGATGGATCCTGGTGATCAATTGTGCAAGTTTGCTGCTTTTATTTGTTTCAAATTATAGTCAACTGAATAATTTGGAGTTTTAATGTTGTCACCTTGAGTCTTTTTAACCATTTTCTGATGTTTTACAGAGAGAAAATCATTTGAGTAATCAATGATGACAACAATCGTTAGTTTTGCCTTAAAGTGAATGCACAGTAAACTCCAATTAAACATCTGTGCCCCACACATGGCTGCTGGGAAACTCTATATATGGTCTGGAGGAAACTCCACATATGGCAGGGAAGAAAACCCCAGTATGGCAGGGAGGAAACTCCATCTATGGCCTGTGCCTGGTGCCACACTTGATTGACTGATTTAGGAATTACACACTGAAGTTAACCTAAGAGTTTCAGGTGTCAGTGTTAAGAGAGTATAGAAGGAGAGGGAGGAAGGTATTTTCTGTACAGATGGCTTTAAACAGGTAGCACCATGCACAGCAAGCCCTCGATAAGCAGGTTAGAAACCAGAGAGGTTTACAGTTGGAGCTCTGCTGTAGCTCTCCCTGAAACACACAGCACATCAGCACAAAGTCACACTCATTGATATTATGAATTTCCAAAACCTTACCACAACCACCTTGAAATTCAACTCGTCAAATCATAAGGAACTCAAAATCATTGTCCAAACTATTTTAAACTCAGCATATCATCACCACCACATTATTATTATTACTTATCCATAAATTCTAAATAATCGGCATTAAGACATGAACTCAAAGTTAACACAAATTCTTCATGGGTGTTATTTGGAAAAATGTTAAGTCACAAGAACTTTGTGAAAAAGACAGAACTCTCCTCAGCTATGTTCTCCTGTTGTTGTAGCTCGCTAATCATACAGCTCGGCTAGCAAGAGTGCAGCTAAACCCATCTGGGGAAGCAGAATGGCGCGAGGAACAGAGAACCCACCTCAGTTTATTTGTATTCAGTTTGTCAGATCAGCTCTTTGAGCAGAGTCCCTTCACCTGTTTAGGCCGGCAGCAGAGCTCTGTGTCCAGTGGCGTTGGCTCTGGTGGCTGAGGAACTGCCATAAACTGGCTTTCACGGACTCTAATGCACCAGCGTTCATTTTGACACCTAAATTTGATTGTTTGTTTTTTGAGCAAAATTGATCAGTTTTGCTCAAAAAACTGATCAATTTTCAGTCCAAAATTTTATGTTGTGATTTAGAGGCTCCAATTGTCACCCTCTTTGTTGTGTACAGTTACCATGGTTACGATCATTGCCATCTTTGTGATGTGAAAGTGCTCTGAGTGTGCTGTAAAGCATAGAACAGTGCTATACAAGTATTAGACCATTTAGCATTACAGTTACTGGGGTTACACTGGTTTCCATCTTTGTTGTGTACGGTTACTATGGTTACTGCTGTCTCCATCATTTTGTGATTCCAGAGGTGCTGCTGTTTACTGAATAAGACTGAATTAAGATTCTAGTTACTTCTTGTTCATTTTCCCACCTTTCACATTTTGCTTAGTTTTTATTTAAGGATGAAAAATGTAAAGCATTTCATCACAGCTTTTTATTTAGTCTCATTTATGTCATGAAAATGTCAGTGAATTTTTTTTTTGCTAACATTGTCAGTATTTGAATAGCTTAGCTCATTAGCTTGTGCAAAATGTTAGCAACTGTTTTTAAGGTGTAACCCCTCAAACCTGTCAGTGACTGAGACCGTGAGCAGAGCTGGTATAATTAGTCAGTTAAATGACTTGCTGGTCGACAGAAAAACCTGGAATTAAGCCAAAAGTTCCAAAAAGACCAACCAACCAACCGATATTCACATTTTGATCATTTAATGTAACACTGACTGTATCTGTTGTTTTTTTATTTTCAACAAAACAGAACTAACAGGTTGGGAGGTTTTATGGTTGAGCACTTGGCAACAAGCTGGAAATGTAAGTCTGAAACTTCTCTGAAGCTAATGAACAGTGGACACAGAGCTCGATGCTGCCAGACTTTGTGCTTGACAAGACTGATGTGATCAAAGGGCTGATAAGCCAAAGTGTCACTGAGCTGGACTCGTGTTGGTAAAAGGTCTAAAGACTGCTGAGTTATCCTAGTTGAAATAATGGCCTAGTGTCTGACCAGAGGTCAGGGATTATGAGGTCACAGTTCAGGATGTCTAGAGGTCAGGGGTCAAGTTGAGCCATCCAGCAGTTGTCTGAGTGCTCTCTCGATGTTAATTCGGTGTCCCAGTCTGGTGACACCCAACTCCACGTAGTCCTCCTTGGTGAGGGCGGGGAGATGAGAGCCTTCGATCTCATGCTCCTGGAAGCGCTGGCGGTGTTCGGCCAGGCCCATGCTCTCCAGCCAGTCACCCACGTCGTATTTATTCCACAGGTTGAGGGGCCGCTGCCTCCATGGCCGAAGGGCTAACAGGGGCCCGCTGAGGACCGGGGAGGGACAAGGAGAGGCGTGGGGTGAAGGTGAAGGGGAACGTGACCTGGTTCGCGCGCTGGCGCTTCGCATCACAAACCGAACCTCCTTGGGTTCTGAAGGGAGACTGAGACTGGATGACTTCAGGATGGTTAGACCGCGACCTGAGCTCAGATCAGGCCTTTCGGAGCAGGGGGCAGGGGAGGAGGCAAGCCCTGCCGACCTATCAGAAGGGGAAGGAGAGGGGGAGGGACTCCGGCGGGTGACGGGGTAGCGGCTTCCTGGTCGCACTGTATAGCTGGGGCCATATCCTCGCTGGGAGATGGTGTGGAGTTCACCTAGACTGGAGAACAACCTGCAACACAGTGTATTAACATAAACATCTGTTACTTCGCTAAGCTTCACCCAACTTAGTTACTGTTGTTGGTCAAGCTCTGCAAGCTACACATGCACCATGTAAGAACGCAAAGATAAGAGTGTTTAGCAAATCAGCATTCCAAGGGTTCATTCCAAAGATGCATGGGAGAGTAACTTCAGATTTTTAGTAGTTAGTCATCTGCAAAGAAGGTGCACGTTAGTCAGTCATTAGCTAATGAAAATCATCTTTTAATAGGGGTGTAACAGAACACACAAGTCACGGTGCGTTTTCAGTACAGTAGGGGAAAAAAATTATTGTAAAATTGCATTTATAAGAAACTTTTGTAAATGTCATCGGTTTATAATTTTAAAAAAAATAAATTTTAAATGAAATGTCAAATATATAAAAAGAGAACAGTGCTGCAAACTAGTACTACCAAGTGCTCCAAAAACCAGGGAAGGGCTGTTTAACTGATAAAGCATTTGTGCTACGCTCGTTCTTTGATTGCAGCAACTATTTTAACGTTCATGTGATACTGTTCCAGACAAGTTGGCAGGTTAGATGCATAGTCACAAACACATCCGATTACCACTGAATGAACATATTAAGCAGCGGACCAAAGCGCAGTAAACAACTAGAGAAATGCATTCCCTGTCGAAAATGTGCGTGGATGCTGTGATGCTGAAGGATCACCCTGAAAATGCCTGAAATCAATTGCTGAAACAGCTGAAGGATGAGTAGAAATTGCTGAATTTGTTTGTTAAAATAGTTGAGAAGAAATGGCTGAAGTTCTTTGTTGAGTAATCTGAAGGATGAGATGCAATAAATACAAGCAGGAATTTCCTTGAAGAGCTGAACATTTTGATACCTGAATGGCTTTTCTACCTGAAAGTATGCTGAACTTATTAAAAATATTACAATTGGTCCCCAATTGGTAAAACAAGTAGGTGTTATAGTCTAAAAATTATGAAGTTTAGTACAATTTTGAACAGAAGCATGAAGGTCCTTGAAGTGCTAAACATTTTGATACCTGAAATTATGCTGAAATTGAATTTCCCATTCATTTGAATGGGGCAAGATCTTCAAAATAAAACAACATTTCAAAAGTATGAAGTTTAGAAAACCTCTGAAGAATGTCCCTGAAGAGCTGAACATTTTGATACCTGAAATTATGCTGAAGTTGAATTTTCCCATTCATTTGAATGGAGCAAGATTTTCAAAATAAAGCTAATTATTATAAATGTATGAAGTTTAGGAAACCTCTGAATAGAAGCATGAATGTCATTGAAGAGCTGAACATTTTCATACCTGAAAGTATGCTGAAGTAGAATGTCCCCATTCATTTGAATGGTGCAAAACTTTAAAAATAAAGCTACATATTGAAGAAGTATGGAGTTTAGAAAGGTTCTGAATAGAAGCATGAATGTCCTTGAAGAGCTGAACATTTTAACAGCTGCAGGTATTCTGAGCTAGAATTTCTCTATTCATTTGAAATGGTGCAAAACTTTCAAAATAAAGCCATGTTGATCCCTATAATAGTCCAAAGTATGCAGAGGTAGAATTGTCCTATTCATTTGAATGATGCATAACTTTCAAAATAAAGCTACATATTTCAAAAGTATGAAGTTGAGAAAATGTCTGAATAGAAGCATGAATGTCCTTGAGGAGCTGAACATGTTGATACCTGAAATAGCTGAAAGTATTGTAGTTACTTTATCAGCTTTAGTTACTTCTCATGCCTTTAGTTCCCTTTAGTTACCTTTCATAACTTTATCTTACCTGATTACAGCTGTATTGATTATTGTGCAGAACTACTGAGCTCTGATTATTTTCTAATACAGTTATTCTCCTTGCTTATATGTCTTACAATTGTAACGAGGTAGAATCTGCTTACTTTCTGCAACTTCTGAATGTCTGCATCCCCCAGGCAACCAGACGACCTATTTACATTTCAACAAAGCCCCGCTAGCCCACACCTGGATACACCTAGCATATCCCAAGTTCTGCCCCACCAGGGGGTGGCTTACACACACAGAGGGCCCTATCACCTGAAGACGACCACTTGGCCAGCTTATTGTCTCACACACACACACACACACACACACACACACACACACACACCTATACCTAGACAAGGGGAGATCCGGTTCACACTAAATGGAGAATAGTGCAAGACTTGATTCTTATAGGCCCTAGTTACTTTATAATCTTTAGTTACTTTTCAGTTCTTCATTGTCTTTCAGTTACTTTTCATATGTTTACCTTCCTTGCTTACACATGGTAAAACTGTACTGATGATTGACCAGAACTACTGAGCCTTGGTTATTTTAATACATTTATTTTCCTTGCATGTATATTTTCCAATTGTACTGATGAGAGCCAAGTGATACTGAAGTAGAAACTGACTACTTTAACTTCTGTGTACACACAGTGTTTGTATGCAGGAGTCCTGCTTTGTCATGTAATAGGATTACACAGATGGGGGGTCTGCGGCGCAGAGGACCATTGTTTGGCTGCCGCCTGGAAAGTCACATGACAACACATACACACCTGGTTTCGTGGGGCGGACCTAGCCCAAA